GCTCGACCCGGGGATTAATCAACCACCGTTTCGCTACCCTTCCCCCCTTATTCTCCCATTACCACAACCCCGTTGCTGCATGTTCTATTTAGCCACACTTGAACACTCAGAACTCCACACTCGACACACCTCTCGCTACTAGAGAAAACGACAAAAAGACTCGCCAATGACGACGACTTCAATGCCGTATAGCTAAAGTCCAACAAGAGTACAAGACTAACCTGTTCTTTAAAAACAAATCTCTGAATTCAAAAGCAAGGATATCCCGCACCCCTCTCGTCTCTATTTTTACCTTTTCCTTCTTACGATAGACTTTTACATTGTTTATACACGCATATATAGAAAGCGAGCTTTTTTAGTAGCTCCACTGTATACCCACGGTGGCTTATTTGGTTTCCACGATATACTATTATATTCATATGGCTTATCTTTTGTCACCATTGCTCATCTTGAGCGTGACCTCCACCACTGTTGCGTCACTGTATAAAATTATTATTATACAAATACACGACTACACCCAAGAGTGGATTGTATTTTACGTGTGATTTAACTGAGTATAGAATGCTTTTCGTTACATTCGTTAATGTAGGAACTTAACACGATGTTTATTTTATGACCGCTTGCTTTTTTAATAAAATGTTTAGTTTTAGTTTTGAATTGATTTTAATTAAAATTATATTATAGGTTTGACTATAAGCAGGAATTTTTTTCGCCAAAAAAAAAAGAACTCTAAATGAATAATTGTTTATATTTTTTTTATTATAGCATTATTTTGGAACATTTTAACACTTGTAATAAATTTCCACCTTGATCGWGCAATGTCTCTGTTTCAAAAATAGGTACTAAACTTTACTAGAACGGTAAAAAATCTGTGGCCACCATATRCGTACATACTTACCACTTACCACGTAATTATCGTGAACGCCAGTATTAAGTACTTCTGTTTTTGATTTTATTGAATGGAAATTTATAAAAACRTGATAAAATCGTACCTCGGGAAAATTATCATTTAATTTTAATTTTAAATACTAAATACGTATTCGGGATAATAAAAACTGTAATATCAATAACATGAGTAGTATTTAAAAATATAACTAAACGTTTATTAATTGATAACAAACATTTGACAATTATTATGTTAGGTTTGGAGTGGAGCCAACGTACTAATCCTGTATGTAGAAACTTACCACCAATTAGTAAAAATCATTGTGGTAGTTATTTATTTATTTATTAGTACCTAGTTTACCACTTAGTCATGTTACCGTGGTTTCTTTTGATCATTRACAGAATTAATAATATCGCAATTATATATTTAATTCCGTCTATTAACTGGGTATATTCAATTGTTTTGAACACATATTTTAAAATGTAAAATATGTTTTTTCATTTATTGTAAAACGATTAGTGAAGTGAAATTATATATAGAATTCTGGTTAATGTACGTGTCTAGAGCAAAATAAAACACATCGGAATTACCCATCTGTACCTTATTTGAAACATATATTATGTTTATTTTATAAAATATTCAAAGTAAGGGTTGTCAATTTAATCATAATATTATCCCTGACAACCTGTACGAAGCAAAAATATAATTTTATACCTTAAAAAAATCGAATTATACAATAACATGTAATATTGTAAAAATGTATTACTTTCATTAAACCTAAATAGTTGATCTTTAACGAGTGAAAAAAAAAATAATAATATTCAAATATATATACATATTATATTCATAAATAATGTTTATAAAAGACAAAGAAATTGCTTGTGCATTTTTCAATAAATTTAAAATTAACGGTTTTATATAATAAATTATCGCTACAATCATTTAATTATAATCAAATATTTTAAAAACATTTTTTTATTAGATGAAGTTCTCTCGATATTCAACATAAGATGGTTTTCAAACTAACTTAATGTCGCATTATAATTTTGACATAAGTCTATTTGTAGTACGTAAAACGTTATTTGGATAACCAAAATTAATTATGACTTAAAAATAATATAATTATCTCATTCAGGTGTTTCAGATTGAATACATATATAATATATGCAAAAAAAAACTTTTAAAAAACTCTCATATTGTAATGACTATTTATGCAGATATAAAAAAAAATATTTGCCTTTATTTGTAATTTAAAATTCCATTATAGATTAAAACTTTAATCGCTGTTAATTAGGGCGGATTTCTCCGAGATCCAGATAAACATTTAACAAATATTTTTTAAACTACCGTAGGAAACAGATTGGTAAAAACAACAATAATAACAACAGGTGATACCCAAACGGTCGGTAGTTATAAATTAGTAGCCCGTTACTCACCCCTTTCCAGTGTTCTCTTTTTTTTTATCCCAAACAGATTTTATTGTTGAACAATTTATGCCCCCTTTTCACTTAACAATATGCGGTTTATACCCTTTTAAAATTCTGTTTACTTCTAATTTTGAACTAACACAAAAATAAAGTTTGACATATTATATATACAATTTGATTTCATTCTGATAATTATCGAAGAAAATATYATTATTTTAATGACTACACATTTTTATTTAAATGTAAGAAATAGGAAACCCTCTTTTTGATGTATTAGTAAATAGTAGTTAATATCTTATAACAATAATGTCTAAACTAAATGACTAAACTACATAAACTTAAATTAAATTCCATGCAAYATTATTACAGACAAATTAAGACTTTTTGATATAAACTGAATTATTAATAACGTTTATAGTTACATCTAATCAATTGAGTCATATATTATATCAATCATCATTGTATGTTCAAAATAATGTCACCAAAGTGAAATTCTATACKGTAGGTACACATTTCACATTATAATAATCTATCAATAACAATAATTAAAACCTTTCAGGAGTATTTATTATATATAGTATACTATTTCTTGTGAATTACTTCATTCAGCTTCATAATATATAGCCATTTATATTKATGTAAATTATAATGTAATATCTACCATATAGAAAATGTGTACCTATGAATTATTATGATACATATATGCACTCTCCGTGAGTAATTCGAGTATCGAAAATATTACGAAACTTTTGAAATGTCGGAGAAGTTGTGTACAACAGTTACCATCCATGAAGCGATGCCCTTTATATTGTGAAAACTTTACGAAACGCTAGAGGGATTTTCAATTATTATTTTAGAATCATACTTTGGAAATTTCTTCATACACCACATGTTCTACATAGAATATTGTACAATAATAGAATATTATTGAGAGTAGATCTGCACAACTCTATATACCTACTTATAAACTAATTTTCAATCGTCGATTACACATTTCGGGTCCGACACTTTAAACAACTGTACCTATACCTACCTATCCGTATTGGAATGTTAAATGATGTAAGACATAGCTGAGTATTATAGTTAAAAATTTCAAAGAATATAAATAATTCAAATTTTATGGAAATATATTTTAAATACGGTATTTTGTATTTCAGGATGTTATTAACAATAGTTTTTTTTTTTATTGAGTAAGGCTTCAACAGCTAGGTCATTACCCTGTGGTTGTAGATACAATATTAATGGATTCCATAGTTATGATTGTATGTTACATAGTTACAGATTAAGTGATACAGTATTATATATTTACATTATATTTGATATGCGTAGATTTAGCTTAATATTAAGATTTGTTTGTCGATGCCAATGGATTTGAAGAAGCTATGGATCAGGTGGGTGTTATGTTCTCCAAGTGCTTCCTCAATTGTTGAAGGTTGGTTGAGGATAAACGATAGTTCTCCACATTTAACCGAGTTATTCTTAAATATCTGTCAAAAATGAAATAATTTAAATTTGTATTGACCCATTTAAATATTAATCATAGGCCCAAAGCATCGTAACGACTTAACATTGGTTCGAGTGTTTTGCTGTGACATATTTTTCTTATTTGTCAACAACGTTTTTGTTTTAAAACACAGGTTGATTCTCCAAGCATGCTCATTCCCATTTTAGATTCTCCACTGAGTGGTGCCAAAGATGGTGATTGATGTATTGAGTTTACAGTTTTTTTTCCGAAGTTAATAACACATTTTATACTACAAAAAATGTTTCAATTTTCAACTTTAAAATCTTTTTTGATCGGAAAGTGAATTAAGTATTGGTACTTTTGGCAGTAAAATTTAAAAACCCCAATACTTAATCCAATTATTGAATGTGGGAAAATATTAAGAAAAACAAGTATTTTTCCAAAACACTATGCATTTGAAACTTTTATAAAATATTGTTTATATATTAGCATTATATACAGTAAATAATAATATCCAAACGATTTTGACTGTACACAAATATATTTTTGACATGACATTTTTTTTAAATTAATGTCGATGAAAAACATTTTGCCATGTCAAAAAACTTGAAAATTGAATTCATGATTTCTCATGAGTTTTCAACACCTAAACATAAATATTTATCTATTTTTCCTTTTATACGACACTTCATGGAGGCGTGACGTCCTGATATTAATTTTTCGATGTATTTTTATAATTATTAAAATGTCTAAGTATAAATAATAAATATAATAACCATGCATCATATTAAATGTTACATCTGTTTTAAAGTTTTGTCAAACTAATCTATTAATAGACTTTTAAGTAAATAACATTTTAATAACTCAGAATTATTATTCAAAATTCAAATTTTAATTTAGATACATCAACATCTTCAAAAAAAATAAACATTTACAAAGAATCCTATGTCCCTAAATGGTGTAAAAATCTTATAACTTGAAAATATGATYCTTAAAAATGTTTATAATTTCAAAAATCAGAATTTGATCTAACTAATTTTTAAAAGAAAAAAATGGAGATGATTATGATTGGAGAATCACTTCATAAATACCCTTAATTATTCAACGCATATTTTTATGATTATGTTTCAGAGCATTATGTGGCATAATGTTTCCATAAAAAATCAAATCTTATATAGTATATCCATATTATATTTGGTTCAAATATAAGTACGAAAAAGAAAAAAAATCTGTGGATATATTATATGATATTTTATTGGTGGTCGGTATATCTAACAATTAATAACAATAACTAACACAATATTTTTAAGTATCTTGTATATGATATTAATAGGTCCATCGCCCACAGTGAATATCGTGAAATATTGAGATGACGTGTGATTCCAATACAATAGTATTATTATATAATGACTTGACTTGCACCAAGTCGCCGATGGAATACTTAGCGACGATGACGACAAATGACAATATTATTTCTCCGAAAATAACTGCAGCATGCGTGATTCACTCCACCAGGCCGGTATGTATACGTGTATAATAATAATCATGTTATAATTGTCGTTGAAATGCGTCGTCGGTGATTTTCTCGTATATTAGACCTATACCGTCACCATAATAAATTGTTATATTATTTTAAATCGTATCCCGACGTCGTTTGCTGAACTCAATCGTCCGGCACCGCGAATGGCGATTAAGGAACGAATCTGCGCACGTATATTATATTTATGTATATATAATATAATATGCGTAGGTACTTCGGAAGCGGGTGGGCGATGAATCGGAAAATTAACGAATTAACACGAGGCCGGTGGCGATGCGGATCATCGTGAAAATATAATCGCTGCGACTTCGGCGGTGGTGACGGTGGGTGCAGGCAGGGACGGTCACCGCACCGAAGTCTCCGTGCGCATTATATGACGATTAAAACGATAATGGTTTACATCGTCGACGGGGACTCGTCATCGTGATAATGGTCAGCAGTATATTATTTTGTTACAGCGGCGGCGACGTAATCGTCAATGTGGGAATGCGATCAAAAATCCGTTTCGGTCGCGTACACAGCTGCATCGCGGACGAAGGATTTAATAAATAAATGTCGTCCGCCAACTACAGAGACGTAACATTATATACCTTGGCTACGAGCAATATTAGCCGCAGTACTGCAGAAGATCTGACGAAGACGCGAGTCAAAAGACGATTCGTTCAGACTTTGTAAGTCTAACGAATTTCGTCCAAATAATTTACAAAGTGCGTTTATGTTTAATTATGACCATTATATATATTTTAAAAAAAAAACTGAGACATTTATAGTCAAAGAATATAGTTGAGTGGGTACAGTAAGAATCTATTTCTGACATTATCCGATATTCTAAGACTAAGATCACTACATTACTAATCAAAAATTCATAAATATTTACACGATAAAAGAGAATATATATGTTTTGTATTAGTAAACAAATATACAATATACAAAATAAAAATATTTACAATATACCATACTTAACTAAAACTGTGTTGATATAATATGTGTTATTGATAGTGTCATCAGACAAATTACAGTGATATATGAATGCTATTTCCATATTTGGATCTATTTGGTAGTAAACTAAATAATTAATGTTTCAGGACTAAATTAAAACTGGAAGAAACCATCACACAAAAATAACGATTAAACTTATTGTTAGTTGGACCAATGTCAGTCAAAGCTCGTAAGTTGTAACCAGTTTATTAAACCAAAGACTATCAATTTAAACACAAATTTATATAAATATAATATATAATTACAATATTAGGTAACTAAATAAATGAACGATGTTCATTATTTATATATTTATAGATGCTTTAACAGTAAACCTTAAATAAGTAGGTGCCAATAACTGATTTTACAAATTACAAGAAATGTTGATAGTAAGTATTCCTCTATACCGGTGACTTTCAAAATACCTTTTCTAATTTATCTTAATTTATTTAACGATTTAATAGTATTTCATTTATTTCGATAACCTACGTTTTTCTAATAAGTATAATTTTCCCACCTCGGCACGTGCCCATTGATGCCTTTAATGTTTCTCCACGAAACAGGCCCGTCGAGATTTATTCGTCTTTTTCTTAGGTATAGCTGCTTATTTTCATTGTTGTTGTTGATATTATTATTACTCCTTTTAAGCACTCACCGCTAAACTATTCGGCTGATCAGTACCCTACAAGTAATAATAATATAATATACACCTTCGCAACATCTGACGACTGCACGTGGTCCATGATCGTCGAAATAATTAAAATTGTAAATAAAACACGCTTATGTGTTTAGAACATCTGTTGTGCTATATAATAATTATATGATTCCAGCAGGGCAACATAGATAGTAGATACTATAGATTTTCTTGTAATTTAATATCCAACAGGTTGGTGTAAAAAAAATATACATATATATATATATATATATATATCCAAACGTATTCCGAACCGTAGATTATGAGGGAAAATATTCTGAACAAAATACAGACCTAAGACAGTTGCAGATAAGTGTTAGGCACTCGACTCAAGACACGTTGCAAGTGTTATTAACCATTAAACATTTTTTTTTTTTAGACACTGATTAATTATTTCATTGAATAACGATTCCGAGCCGAGCTCATTTATTTATCATTACGCATCTCTTGACATTTCATTAAAATTAATCAACAGTTAACGGTGGTTTTTTTCTTTGTGGCCACGGAAAGCTTACTAATTAAATCTAAACATTACTCCACTAGATTCAATTTTAAACATTTTACCTGAAAAAGTGTTTATGAAAATTAACGATAAACATAAAAATTAAGAAAGAACGCTTCACCTGAAATCTAAAACAAATAAGTATTTATATAGATATTTAACAAATTATTATTTAAAATAATTTGTATAAGTAACCCATATTATTAAAATATATTGTACATAGTGTTTGATTTTCATAATGCATTTCAATAATTATTAACATAATTTTTTAATGTACCTAAGTTAATTTTAAATCGTAAAGTACAACTTTTCGTTTTGTTTTATTAGATATAAGAAGCAACTCATATTTTGTAAATTTTTGATAAGTCGCATAAAATCGATTGTATATTGTTTCGTAACTGCAAAAACCGTAAAATTATTGTCTTAGCTTAATTAAAACGTTTTGCTCGACTTAACTCACGATACTGCCGTATAACCACACTGAAGAAACATGCAGAAGTTTCCACAGCACATAAAACGTTGTTCTACAGAATAGAAAATATTAAGATTAAAAAGAGTCTGAGAGTACCTATGTTTATTGAAATGAAAAACAAAACAGCTTTACAACAGAAACTAGCCATTAATTAGTTATAGGAGTAATATTTATTGTTTTTAATTCAAAAATCGAATAAACTAAAAAAAAAATAATCTATTTCTGTTTAATATATTTTTCATGAAACGTGTCGCAGACGTTTATAGTATTTTCATTCTGGAATACATTTTTCATTCATATTTAAAATAATAGGTGAATTATTTATGCACTTCTGAGCAAAAACCTCTCCCACGACCCACGTAGACTCTGCTATAATGTTAACTGCTATCAATAAAATAAAGTACCTGCCTCATAGTATAGGACCAATTCATACAAATGTATACCTATAGATAGGTACAACGTTAAGACACGCCTAGCGCATATTAGGCACATTTTCATGGTGGGAGATGAATTGGTACGGAGGATAAATCTCCTCCCACTCTTCTTTTTATAATCTCAAATAACCAGTGATTTTGATATTTTAGAATGTTTTTAATGCACTTGATGTAGTGAGTGGCAAAAATAATATGTATATATTTTTATAATATTGTGAAATAATTTTTGATTCGTTTTATTACTTTTATTTGTTCTCATATATATATATTTTTTTTATCGAATATCAACCATTTGAAAAAACGTGTTATATTTTACCTTGAATTAAGCATTCAAACTTCAAATAATTACTACTAAATTAAGAATATGACAAGCAAAGCTAAAAATAAACCATTTATTTCCTGAAAAAATATTAAAGCATTAATTTTATGCAATCATTTAATATTAGAACAACATGTATTCTTAGTTTTAAATTCCAAAGAAAAATTATTATAAACATTATGTAAACAACATTTTGTTTTTAATAATACATAATAAATTACATTTACTGATAAAATAACTGTTAAGTGATAAATAAATCATCTTAAATATAATATTAATAGGTATGTTTCTGGTATCTACTAATAGTAATAAATGAAATAATTTAAACGTTTTCATCATATTATATTATTATTATTATTATTATATTAGGTTGATACTTTGATAGTAACCGTGTTGTTCTAATTATATTTTGAGTTCCAACAAACACCTCTCGGGCAATAATTGTCAATATCTTTATTGACTATTGTACCATAATTATTATTGCCATACCCAACAATATTACCGTTAGGCCAGCGAAGCGAAGCGTTAGCCTGTGAAACCCATGTAGATCACCAAAATTGCGTACAATTAACGATTTTAGAAATATATGAATATACATGTATTATACATACATTTATATAAAATCTTTGTAGGGAGCAAATCATCGAAATAAATAAATATGGAGGTTGTGGGTCAAAAAAGATTATGTATAATTTAAGCGATAAGCTGCGTAAAAATTATAATTATATATTATTAAAACAAACTGCTGATAGTTATTTAAATTTTTATACAAAATAAAAATGCATTTAAAAACAGAATTATTATTTATTTGTTCATAAAAATTAGTAAAATTTGTGAGTAATAAGAAATAATTATTTAAATTTTTATTTATTTGCATATGTTGTACTATTATGGCATTTTTAATATGTATAAAAATTTAAATAACTGTCAGTAATTTGTTTTAATAATATATGATTATAATTTTTACGCAGCTTATCGCTTAAATGTTATGTGTCGTGTATTGATCAGTTTTTACTAAGTCAATTTGTATATCTTAGGACCAAGGATGTACACAACGTGTTAAGTAAAAGCCCGAATAAAATTAAGAATTTCAGCATTTACTGAGTGCAAACAGTAAAACCTAGGTTTCGGATGGGGCATTTACGGTAACTTTATATATAAAATAAAGATATCTGTCTCAATATAGACAAAAAATGTCGTTTCATTTAAACCCATTCGATTTTGTTTATATTCTCATAAAAATTATACACAACGTTAAAATAGTGATTTGTCTAATATATACAGGGTGATTCTTTTAAGTGGGTACACTAATTATCTCGAAAAGTATTTA